TAAACCCAGTCACGTGACATTGCTTCTAGAAATGGATCTTCCCAAGCTGTGAGTCTGAGGAACGGCAGGCACTCTGACCCGACTGCTGGATTTTGAAGGCATTCCTCCCAAGAGAGATACCCTTGCTTATAAGTGACCCCTAAAAGCAGAACCTGGGAAATTTTCAGCCAGAGAAATTAGAAATTGATTCTAAATAGGCTTGTGCCCCGGAAATCAGTAGTACAGTAAGGAAACAGGGCACTAGCAAGACTATTCTCCAGTGTCAGAACTCAAGAGAAATGAATGTTAAATTGATTAGTAGCACAGACATTTAAGCCAAAATCTTTTTTGCAACATATCTTATCTTTCCTACTTGGGGCATCTTCAAGAATGGAGGAGTTTGCTGGAGACTGTGGATACATTTATTTGGGTTAGTTGGTTTGTTTTTGCATTATCTCATTATTCTTTCAATAATTGCATTTCATTAATTTTTTTAAGTAGGAGAGGATACACACATACGTATTCATGCATACAGTACATAGATTCTTAAGCCCAGATAATACTTCATGTCCTATGTGAAGCATTACTTGGTTAGGAAAGATATACCTTTATCTTCAATAATGTGTATAACCTTTACTAATCTCTCTCTGCTAAAAATAATGTAACAATGTTAATAGGAGATATTTTTAGCATCAGTTTCAGCTGAGGCCCAAAACAAAAGTAAGTGTGAGACTGTAGCACTTACAAAGGAAGTCATCAAAAACCAGTTTTGCAACCCTTAGCTGACCGCTTATCTCCAGCCTTTAAAAGAAGTGGAGAGGCCAAGAAAAGAGTTGGCGGGTAGAATGCGATCTTTAGAGAGATCTGTTGGTGATTAGGTGTATCAGTCCCAGCCCAGCAAAAGGGGTTTCAGTGGGACCCTTTGGAGGACTGTATATTTGTCCTAGGAAGTGTCTGACTTATGCCTAAGATCTAAAAAGCTCTAATGTCAGAACAAGGAGAATTTGCTTTTTGGAGTTTGCCTCTGCCACTCACTCACTCACTTCTCTCCTTTCTGTACTTTTTCTCCTTAGCATTTTAGCCAGTAGTCTATATATTTTAAGTATTTATCTCATTGCCTGTCTTCCTCAATACTATGTAAGTTTCAATACTGTGAGGCAGAGATATTTGTCTGTTTTGACCTCTGCTCATCCTAGCACCTGTAATACAACGTGCATAGATGGATGCTCAAGAAATATGTGCCTTGTCCATTTGTTATCACTAATCACTCTAACAACCCTGCTTGTTTGGTATTGTCTTAGTCCGTTTTGTGTGTCTATAACAGAAATACCTGAGACTGGGTAATTTATAAGGAAAAGAGGTTTATTTGGCTTACGATTCTGGGAGAGCTGCATCTGGCGTGGGCCTCAGGCTGCTTCTACTCGTGGTGGAAAGCAGGAGGCAGCCGGCAGGTACAGGCAGATCACATGGAGAGAGGAAGCAAGAGGGGGAGGGAGGTGCCAGGGTCTTTTAAACAACCAGCTCTCATGGGAACTAATAGAGCAAGATCTCATTCACTAATCCCCCCACCTAGGGAGAGCATAAATCCATTCATGAGGGATCCACCCCCGTGACTCAAATAGCTTCCAGCACTGCCACATTGGGGATCAGATTTCCATATGAGTTTTGGCGGGAACAACACATCCAAACTCCATCAGGTATTATTATTCTCATTTTACATTTGGGAAACTGGAGCTCAGAGGGGTTAAGAAACTTATTCAGTATCACACACAACCAAATAAAGAGCCAGAATTCAAAGCCAAATCCATGTGATTCCAAAGCTCATGCTCTGCTTGTTAATGCCTTATCAGCTCAGGTTTTGGTTTCCCTAAAGTGTACTTTCATCCTTTCTTGGGTGGTAGATAGCATCTAATCTAAGATTTTTAGGGAAGTAACATGTACTCTGATCTCACTCAGTACATATTGCCTAGTGAGGATAACAAATATAGAGATTAATTAATTGGTTATATAGCTTTTGCTCAATGCCAAGACAAGAAGTCAGATTATTCAGAATACATTTAATGGTACTTCACTATATAAATGACTGATTATTTATATGAGGGCACTTCATAAAGTTCATGGAAAGATTTGTATTATCTTTTCATCCTATTTTTCCATGTACTTTTTGAAGTACCCTTGTTTAGGCCTGTATGTTTTACCAAGTTCTTTCATATTTGTTATTTTGTTTAAGTATTAAACTGTTGAAAGCTTAAATAGCTTTATTGCTTTTGTTAAATATCAATATTCATTTTTTATGTGCTGCTTCGTAGAGCATATTTTGCCAACTTTCTTTTCCTCAAACCTTTCTATTCATTAATACTCTTCTCAAGAGAACAAAGATTTCCACAGCTCTCATCAGACATCATATAGCATATAGGGTATTTGTTTTTGCTGGTATTACATGATTATTTTGCAAGCTCCTAGGCATATTTGTCTGAGCTACCTTGGTTTCTGCAATGGCAAATCTCTAATATTTCAGCAGAGACGACTATAGAAAAGGTGGTTAGTTGGAAAACAAAGTTCAGATCCTAACTCCAAGCTGTGTAAGCTTGGGCAAGTCTCTGCATCTCCTTGGGCCTCACCTGAGAAGTAGAGATGTTGGGCTGACAGACACATGGAGGGGAGACACAAATGAGCGTGACGGCTTGGGTGTGCGGTAGAAGCGAGTGGTGGGGACGGCGGAACAATGCAGAGGATGTGCCCAGTTTAAAAGAGGCAGCAGCAGTCTCCTTGCAACTTGGAAACATGGCAGCTCTTCTGGTTTCTCAAAAGAATCTGTGGAAAACTGGGTTTTTATGGGGATTTCCTAGTTCTCACTTTGGCAATAACTCAAACTAAAAAAATCTCTTCTTCAGACAACATACAGAATGGGAGAAAAATATTTGCAAACTATACATCTGACAAGGGGTTAATATCAAGAATATGTAAGGAACTGAAACAACTCAACAGCAAAAAAACAAATAACCCAATGAAGAAATGGGCAAAAGAGCTGGATAGACATTTCTCAAAAGAAGATATAAAAATGACCAACAGGTATATGAAAAAATGCTCAACATCACTAATCACCAGAGAAATGCAAATCAACACAACGATGAGATACCAGCACTCTAGCTCGAATGGCTAGTGTCAAAAAGACAAAACAAGTGATGTTATGGAGGTCAGGGAACCCTGGCACACTGTTGGTTTTGAGTGGAAACTGATGCAGCCAGTTATGGAAAACAGCTGTGATCTAAGCCCCGAAGGAGTCGCAGGATGTGGTAATGAGGAAGGGGAGAGATGAAGCCCACCCTCCCCACCCCTGCCCTCAGCTCTCCTGCCTGGGAAGACCACAGGCTGGCTGCTGGTGTTCCTTCCACACGGCTGATGGCCCCCCTCCACCAGCTCCCCAGCATCCATGTCACTCTCTTCTTCCATTTTTTCCAGATAGTTTGTTCCTGCAAAACCTTCCTGTGGCAAATTTTCATGGGTTAAAAGCATTCCTAAAGTTTATTTCAATGGGGGAAAAAATTGTACATCCCTCAGTCCCTAAATTAATTCGCAATTTAAATACTATCAAAATGGGCCTGTTACTTCGACAATTAATGATACTGGTTGTCATATCTTGACAAGGTGGTTTCTCTATAAAGGACTCTCCAATATGCTGTCTACTTGCCTTCCTTTGGCTTTTGCTGTCATCGTTGTTGGTAAACGTAGGCTCCTCAAAAAGCCTATAAGCCAGTGCTCTGTATTTATGTAATCCATTGTTTCTGTATAAAGGACTCTCCAATATGCTGTCTACTTGCCTTCCTTTGGCTTCTGCTGTCATCGTTGTCGGTAAACGTAGGCTCCTCAAAAAGCCTATAAGCCAGTGCTCTGTATTTATGTAATCCATTGTTACTCCAAGCGTGGGTCTTGGACCAGTGGCAGAAGCATCACCTGGAGACTCGTCGGAAATGCAAATTCACGGGCTCCTTGCCAGACCCACTGAATCAGAAATTCTAAGGGCGGGGCCTAAAAGATTGCATTCTAACCGGCCCACCAGGGATTCGGATGCACATTTAAGCTTGAGAACCACTGACGGAACTGAACTGTTCATGCCAAAAAGAAAAGGAAAAAAAAAAATAGAAATCATCAAGGCTAACGATCCACAAGGTTATCTTCTGTAAACTAGANCTATCAAAATGGGCCTGTTACTTCGACAATTAATGATACTGGTTGTCATATCTTGACAAGGTGGTTTCTCTATAAAGGACTCTCCAATATGCTGTCTACTTGCCTTCCTTTGGCTTTTGCTGTCATCGTTGTTGGTAAACGTAGGCTCCTCAAAAAGCCTATAAGCCAGTGCTCTGTATTTATGTAATCCATTGTTACTCCAAGCGTGGGTCTTGGACCAGTGGCAGAAGCATCACCTGGAGACTCGTCGGAAATGCAAATTCACGGGCTCCTTGCCAGACCCACTGAATCAGAAATTCTAAGGGTGGGGCCTAAAAGATTGCATTCTAACCGGCCCACCAGGGATTCGGATGCACATTTAAGCTTGAGAACCACTGACGGAACTGAACTGTTCATGCCAAAAAGAAAAGGAAAAAAAAAAATAGAAATCATCAAGGCTAACGATCCACAAGGTTATCTTCTGTAAACTAGAAAAGCGAATACTGTGAGAGGAGAACTGAAGCAGCAAGAACCAACTATTCATAGTCAAAGGTAACCAGTGGGCCTCTGGACTCCCAGCATCGCCCCACTCACAAGGCAGGGGACCCACAAATCACGTCTCAGAAACTCAGTGAACTGTCTCATGCGCTGACGCAGAGAGAGAAAAATGCACTCTTAGTAAAACCAAATTCTTTAAACTCCAGTGACCATATCTCCCTATTTCCTTTGAATTCTCAAAAAAAATTTCAGCCTCGAAACTGCCCACCTCAGCCTCTTCAGCCACGCTTTGGAGGTGTCTTTAGATTTTGCTCTGGAGGCCACATGCTCATTGTTCATCTTTCTTTTTCCAGTAAAGGGTTGCCTTCCAGTTCGACATTTACCTTGGAAGAGGGGACCATCTACTTGACTGCTGAGCCGGACGCTCTGGAAATGCAGGATGATAATGCCTCTGTGCTTGATGTCTATTTAGTAAGTAATTTTCTAGTTTCTTCCCCCACCACTCCTCCTGCCCCCAGTTTCTGGTTCATAAATGGATCCAGGCTTACAGCAGAGCAAGTTCTCTAAAACCAGGCATGCTTGGGTTTTAGAAGAAATAATGGCACCCTGTTACTTCTACCAATGTCACATCTTCTTACAAACTGTTTTTCCCACGGTTCATGTAGAGCGTGACACAAAAGAGTATCTAGGTTAATACAGATCACCATATAACTCGAGAGAACAAATTCCCTAATGTCGAGGCAAAGCAGGACACCTTGGAGTTGTTGCCAGCAACATTATGCCTGCCTTTGACTCGGTTGTATCCCCTTGTGTTTGCATCTTCATTTTGGGCCTGCTCCCCAGGTAAGTTACTAGGCTGAGAGGCACAGAAGCAGGTCATGACAGGAACCAAAGTTCAGCACCAAAGAATCTTGGCCAACTCCATCCTCAATTGTCACCAACCAGCTGTGTGATTTGGGCAAGAACCTCTCTAACTGAGTGTTCTTATTTGCCAAAAAAGGGAAAAGCCTGCCCGGCCTACTCACAAGGCTGCTTTGAGGATCACGAGTGAGCACGGATGTGAACATCCTTTAGTGCCTATCGAATTGTCTAGATAGGTTTAATTGGATTGTTAGATGATGCTAAAAAGATACCTTGGTGAGCTGGACTATAAAAGAGGAGACTGAGCATTTTCCCTGAGAAGTACATCTCTCACGTACATACTCCATGTTCCTGCACAAGATTACATGAAACAGGGGAAGTGTTGATTCAGAATTTTCTACTTGTTTAAGTTTTGCGAACCCTGAGCCAATACTCTCCATCACTCATGATGTACAAGTGCACCCTCAAGAATCATCACTACTGGTGCATGTTGCACAGCAGCACATTTCCACACACCTCTGAGCTCCTGGAAGCTGCATTTATGCTTCTCCATACCCCCCAACCTAGCACCATATTTCCTCAAGTGTGCTCTGCAGGACTCTAGTCCCCAAAGTGTTACTTCTCAGCCCATAGCCCTCTAGTGTCTCCCCAGCTCTCCTGGAGTAAAATCCAAAATCCTTAAGGCCCTACATGCTCTGGCCTCCCCTGACTCTTTTACCCCCACCCCCAGGCTTCTGTCTTCCTTGCCGATGCTGTCCCTTCCACACTGGCCTCCTTGGCATTCCTCCCTCAAACCAAGCCTGTTTCTGCTCCAGGACCTTTGCACTTGCTGTTCCTGTCTGTACACTCATTCCCAGCCATCCCATGCTTGCTCTCTCACTTCCTTCCAGTCTCAGTCCAAACATCTTCTCAGATATCTCAGGCTTTACTTGGCCACCCCATGTAAAATAGCAGCCCCCCACCAACTGTTCTGAAAAGATTTTTTTAATAAACCCTGAATATGCTGGTTGCTGCATAAACAGAATTTTTCCCGCTGAGCAGTGCTCCTCCCCCCACTGCCTCCACTTTTAAAAAGTAAGTTATAGCATATTGCAAAATCCTTACAAAAAAAATTTTTATCTCCCCTCCCCCCCACACACACACATAACTAAGGAAATAGGGAATTAAATAGAAGAAAAATGACAATATGTTTTGGTCCCATGATAAGTCGGCTTTCATCTAAAGGTAGAAATCAGGAAAGCATTTCAGAAAGAGGCCAAATAAAATCTCATCTTTATGAGCTGATGGTTCATGCCACTTTCATATGTCTTTATGAAAACCAGATTTGCACCAGCCAGGGAAGTGTAATAGTGATGAGTGGAATGCAAAATCACAAGCGGTTAAAAGATATTATTAGTGCCAGCTCTTTGTTATCCTTATTCTTTTGGTAGGAAGGTGGTCTTATTCATCACTTTGCTTTCTCCTCCTTGGTATTATCAATTTCGTCTATAAGAATACTGCCATTTGGTTTTATTAGTGTCTTACTTCATTGCTCTAAGTCTTTAGTTCTCTGACATTGAAAAGTAAAGCATTTCAGAAAAGGATGATGCTTGCCTCAGAAGCCACGGGGAAAAGCCGCAGTATTAATTGTTGGTTGTGTTGAGAGCACTTGAGCACCAATTAGAAATAAAGGAACCATGGGAGTTTAGAACAGAAAGAGGTGGGGGTGGGGGTTAGCTGGCTGCTGTGGTCACCTGGTCAGTCTGCCCCAGCACAGGGTATGTTATGACTCAGAAACAAGGGAGGAGAGGAAAGAAAAAAGAGAGCGGTCAAGCTGTGGAGAGGGTAACAAGGCAGTAGAAATTTTTCTCACCAAGCTTAGAGAAAAACTAATCTAGTCTAATCCTCTTTTGTGGTTAATAACAATAATCTATGAAACATGTTTCAGTGATTCCTGTGCCATTGGCACCTCATATGTATTAACTCATTTGATCCTCACAGCCACCCTATGAGGTCGAGGTGGTTGCTAGCTCCATTGCACAGACAAGGAAATTGAGGCACAGGGAGATTATGCCATTTGACCCAGGTTTGCAGCCAGTAATCAGTAAGAGCTGGGATTCCAACCAGTAGGGAACTAGCCTAGAGGCCACACTCTTAATTGCTGAGTTGTGCTGTCTAATTAGGAATTATGCTGCCTTTGCAGTATGCAGATTAGACCCAGAGATGTTAAGTGACTTGCCCAAGATCAGACAACAAGGTAATGTGGCAAGAAAAATATAGAGGAAAAAGGGTACAGAGACAAATTTGGGCTAAGAAACATTGGCTTTTTAAATTTCAATGTGGAATATGAAGGTTCAAGCAGAATAGTGTAAGAGAAACAGTTCAGCATTGTTGGAAGAGCACAGGCGTTTGGATAATGACAATATCACTGGCCAGACTGAGTACATACCATGTGCCAGACAGTGTACCAGTCCTTTTCTTGCACTAGCTCATTCATGAACATACATGTTATATTTGTTTTCATTCACACAGATGAGGAAACTGAGGCTTAACTTGACCAACTCTCAGAGCTGATTAATGACAGAGCCAGAATTCAAAATCCAGCTCTATATGTTTCTCCGCCTAATCTTGAACTCATGAAACACCCTGCCATTGATACAAGTCTCACCTCCCTCTCTTTAAAATCATGCTCCTTGTGAAAGTGAGAGATGGATCCAGAAAGGAAGGAACAGGGAGTTTTAGGTTGAG